AACCCCGGGGGGGGGGGGGGAGTAGGGAGGGCGCAGTTGGACATTTACAAGAAAAGACATCCGGTTTTGTCATTATTATCATTTTGTTCACTGTATCTGTCTGGTAGAGAGCACATACATATTTCCGCTGAAGGAATTACTGACAAATCTGTCGTATCATACGATCGTCGGCTCGTAATAACCGCACTTTCGCATCCCTATTTGGAAAACTGTCAGTGTGACTTCATTGCGAGTCAACCTGATCACATCAGAAATCAGTTTGGGGCAGAGAGGGGGGCGGGGCGGGGCGGGAGTAANCATAGCCAAAGCAATGAACGAGTAGATAACCAATCAAAATCGCAGGTTCGTACGGAACCGCCATGCATAACTTTGCAACTAGATAACTTACGAAAATGTAGCTCAGTGTGAAAACCCTGCGGGGTTTGATCCCCGTCATCTCCACACATTTGGACGGCGACGGTTGAGTGGTAAGTTTATTGAAATAATCAACTGGTGGTTCTCAGTTCAAATCCCGTCACTCGCGCTCATCTTACCATTGTCTGTATTTCCCCAGGCCGTATACATTTTAGTAAGTTCATCAATCATCAGCATATACGTAAAACTTATTCGTGTACGATAGCTCCATATGACTTTGCACGTTTTCTGTGCTGTTTCTTCCAGATCCGATGAGTTCAGTTCACTTTTTACCACCCATTCGGGTAAAAGAGCAGAATGAAGATTGAGATATTAAAAGCCAATTCAAGTAGAAAATAGAGAATTCACATGGGCTGGTGTTAGGAGAATAATGAGTAGGTGCAGGAGCGCCAATTTTTGCGACACCCAGTCAAATCACTTAGTGTCTCTAAAAATCGGTGACCATGATCTTGGGATCCCTAGCCAGGGAGCCAAACGGGACCTATGTGACCCAATCTCTTGGTTCGGGTTTTCATACCCTCATGGAAGGTCTAGGTTTGACCGCCGTGGACCTTTTTCCAACCACTTCCTGCCGCGGTAAACAACGATGGCCGGGGCAACCTATTTGGTGACACGCGTAACACACGTCCCAGTCAACGTAGTCTATGGAGGTCGACTGGCTGCTCCAGGGGAAGCCCGCGACTACCTAATACTCTACGTCTAACTGTAGCATTACTCGTCCGGTTACTCCACCAAACTCGTGCAATGTGATGCAGACAGCGGTGTTCAAACACTGACGAGCTAACTGCTCCAAGGGAGTACAGGACACGATGATGATCACAGAATGTGTGTTGAATTCAGCTGTTTCGTGGTGATCTCATCAGCTGTGTGGTTTGAAAGTATGTTCACGGCTGATGCGATTATCACGAAATAGTTGAAATCAACACACATTCTGTGATCATCGTCATTCTTCTTGCTCTCATGAAAATGTGAAAGGGAAGTAGCTGAATGGTATAGAAGGACAGTTTTGACAGTAATGATTGCACTATACCGGAATAGCATGGTAACGAACACCATATCGGTTCAGGGGTAGGGGTTTGAAGTCTCGACCCGACTGATCATGGTTCGAGTCCTGATAGGGACACACACTGCTGACGAGTTCTAAACAGGACGAAACAGCTCTCTGGTGCTCTTTGTTGGTTATCACAAACATTTTCATCGCATTTGAATGCATTCAACTTGTGGGGAGGGGATTAACAATCTCCCAAGGAGTGAAACCCACATCCAATATCACCAAGAGTGCCTGGTGCTTCTGAACAATCGAATGGGTTAATCCAAACTTGATACTCTAAATAAACCATATGAAGTTGCCTAGTTGACACTGAAGTCATCGAGCGAATACGGGATCGTCCACCCAGTGTTCCCCTCTCCTCGCTACCATCCTGGAGTGTTCATCCCTAACGCCGGGGCTGCCGAAACAATAAGCATCTGCCGATACGTACTGTGCTCTTGTTTACAAAAGGGAAACATCTAGCTGATGAGTTGCAGCTGACTACACACGATCAGTAACTCACACTTTGTATGTGAGTGTGTGTATGAGGAGGAGGAGAAGTAGATTTCTAACTATCCTAAACCAATACGCATCACCAGCTCCAAAACTCCCGAGGTTTGACGGATTAAAAGATACACACTGTGTTAGACGTTCAGTTCTTGTTTATCAAAATAAACTTGGACTGTACGTCGACACACGTCTGTCTAACCGCCACACTACCCGACATACCACAACAGTCAATGAGATTACTCAATTTTTGTGACCGGTGAATCAGTTTTAACTTGTAACAAGTGAATCCAATCAATCGGATTCCAATTGGGAACCCCCGACAAGATGATTGGTGTTTCGACCGTTTAACGTCACCGATTGGACGGGGTCTGTCTAAACTCTATCCAGTCATTGATGCGAATGAATAAACTCGGCGGCCGGGTAAAGAAGTGAATCACGTCAAGGTGGATCAATAAATCAGTCACCATGACCAGACGTGAATATTGGGATGAACCATCGCATGAGTGGATTCAGTCTAGTCCCTTCCATCACGACGAGACTGCACCTTGACGTGGTCTGATGGCTTGCTCGACGCAATGACCCTACGAGCTATACAGGATGGCTCCTCAGTCGCAGATCTAATCATGCCCGGAAGGTCAAGGGGTAGAGACCTGACGGGATCAGTCTCACAAGACCAGTTGCCTGGGCACCTCCTGGCTTCTTTTTCTATTCATGCCCTTCCCTGGAGCGGTCACTCTAGTAATTAAACACGATGAGGAGCAGTTTACCGGTAAAAACACCTCGTTAGATGGAAGTAGGAGAGGAGTAGCTGGGGCTTCCTCTCGACGTTGGGAGAAGTCTTCGCACTTCATTGGACAGCTCCCGCCCGCCTAAACTGGGCAGCCCCCAGCCAATAAGGTGCTGTCCCGTCCACGTTCC